AGTAATATATATATTTTTTGCATATTTTGAAAATTCTTGTTGATTGCATTTTTACAGCTTGTCAAGCACAAGACTGGTGGCTGTGTTCCTTATTTTGTATATGTGGGGGTCTATACGAATGTGCTTGCTGCAGCTGGTGGTACAATATTCGGAGGCGGTATCGCCTCTCTGATCCTCTAGTTATATTAGAGTTTCTCCATAAAATCTGACTTTGTTTGGAATTGAAATTGTGGAAAGATAAAAGCCAAACCTACCAGGTAGCCATATACATTTTACATATTTAAACCTTAAAATTTGGGCTTTAGACATTACCTTGGTAGAACAAATTGTTCATGGGATTGAAGACAAATAATTCCCTCTGAAACAACTCCTAGGCAACTTACTTAATTCACACTATTGTTCACCAAAGGCTTTCGTAAAAGACAATGGGAATATTTAACACAAAGAAAAATCCTGTGAGCTGACTAAGACCAAATAAAGGGTATTCTTATCTGTGATTAAAATGTAAGTATTACTCAAGTGTAAATTAAAGAAAAAGTTTCTTTTCCCTTTTATATATGATTTGTTAATTTCTGTACAGCTGTTTTAAAATTAAAAAAATGCCTTGAACTTATTTGAGGATATATAAATGTTTGGTTCAGTGTTTATCAATTTCGCATTTATTTTATATTACGTAATACTGGACTGCAAATTTTTTCGTCCTTTAAATGACGGTGTGTTGGTTTGGGGTCAAAGAACTAAGTTGTATTTCTGGATTTTAAGTCCAGCAACTAAAATAGTAAAAGAAATGTTTGTTACCCCGTTACGAAATTCATGAGTCAGCACATCTATTGACCATTTTGCATATGCACGCTGTACAGCAGTGGCGGATTGAGGGGGGATGGTAGGGTTTCTGAAAAAAATTAGAATTTTGACTAGCTGAATTATAGTTGGTAACCCTACCAAATGGCACCATTTGCCCTCCAAAACACCAATTTCTTTCGGGCCCGCTAAAGGGCAAGGGGGCGAGGGTCGGCTTCACATCCGAGGTCTGTGATTCTTGAAAAACCGGATCTCCCCCTTCAAATAATCCTGGATCCTCCCCTGCAGCACGGTGCGCGTACATATCAAAAATCGCCAATAAGATTGCTAACGCATTAAGTTCTTGCAAGAACCAACTAGAGAAAATATGTATTTTCAAAATTTGACATAGTTTTTCGTGACCATGTTAAATAAAAATGTGCAGGGTTTCTTTTTCGTCACTTTTTCTCCCCATGTTTGTGGTACAAGTGGTATTCATCCCATTAACTATGATTGGCTAGAAGTTTAACTGAGAACTGTTCGCGATCGCGACGTGTTCATCTTCTCGGTGGGAGACTGGGTGGGAGAGGTACCTGATGAGTATTTTCAATATTGACGGTTTGCCACAAAGGTTTTGCTTAAGATCATGTCCTTTATACAGTACAACACGTTTTTGATTTTTTTTTAAATTATGCACATTTTTGTAAGACCAGCTTTACTGTACAGGTTGACATGACTTGGCTCTAACACCTGCGCGAAGGCTCCCGTTGCGATAGTTGAGACAACAAAACACAATGGATGGACGTTGTATCGATGAGCAGTGTTTCTCTTCGTTACCGATTTTGCAACCATAATCATAAATTACGGCTTTACTTAGCAGTGACACCTTGGCCATGGACGGCTCTAGTTCGTGAAAACACACCTTAACGAAAGTTACTAATGCGGTAGACATGGTCAAAATCGCAGTACTCGGCTGCGGGCTCATGGGAGTCAAAATTGCTGGTAGGTTTTTAAAGAAAGATACAATAATATTCATTCAATAATTTGCTAAAAAAAACGAGCACGAACCTTCGACTGCCCGATGTTACGGTGTTAAAAAGCTTGAATAGATGAGTATGGAAATTACCTGTTAGTGACCTGGTACAGTTAGCCAGCGAATATTACCATACTTCTGTAATTGTGTGATATTTAGACTTGGGCAAACCTGAAAGCATTTTAGCAAGTATTAAGTTTTTCAGTGATGGAAAAAGCACGAAAATCGTTCTAAGTTAAAACTGTTTCATCATGCATGGTTTTACAGGCTATCCAGGTGTTTTTGTATCTTAAAAAGTGATGTCTTAGTCAGAAACTCTGTCAAATTAATTTTTGTTGTTAACTTTGTCAACTCTCAGCCGTGTCACTAGCTTTTCTGACACCATTTCCTTATTTACGTAGGTGAGATGGCTTACCATGGGCACCGTGTGAAGATGTATGACAGTAACATTAACCAGTTAAATAGCGTTTATGAAAGGATAGAAGAAGACAAGAGACATTTGCGACGAGAAGGACTAATGAGCCACAGGAATTTTATTGTAATTCTTTATGTGTATCTTCTATATTTGGGAGGGGGATATTTGTACCTCGTGGTTTGAGAAATATTAGAATTATAACATTTGCATTCTGGTGACTTGAATTATATTAAATATTTGAAATTTGTAAAATATTAATCATTTTTGCTTTAGATTTAAACACATCTGTTTTATACTATAACTGCATGATAGTTTAATCTGAGATAGACACTGTCAGATGGGGAGTTCATAAAATTTGAATTGGTAAATTTAAGATACAGAAATGGATCATCTTTTGTGGCCACCTTATAGATTGTATAATTAAAATCGCTTAGCATTTGTCTAACAATCATTAGGTCTGAGTCTATCATTACAAATTACTTTCGTACTGAAATATCATCAAAATTGTCATATCATGTGTCAAATTGTATGTATCTGGGTAGATGAAAATATATAATTCGTTTACAGGGTCAAGTTTTGTGCATGAGTCTGCTGGAAGAGACGGTTAATGATGCAGACTTTATCTTTGAGGCAGTAGTGGATGATTTGAAGGTTAAGCAGGATATATTTGAAAGTAAGAACTTGTGTCCTTTAAGCATAATTGACACAAAGAAATTCATCTATAGTAACATCAGTAATGTTTAATTGGTTATGATTTAATGATTAAATTAAAAAAATAAGCAAAACCATCTGATGTTGAAGAACAGAATTCCAAGATGATGAATGATTTGTAAAAAAATTCTTCCCTGTTGAACTTGTTCTCAATTGAAATGGCTTCTTTGCAGGGGTATCCCACTGTTGTACATCTAATGCAATCATTGCATCCAATACACTGAATTTAGACATGAGTCAGATTGTTGAGAGAACAGCATACAAGGAGGTAACCATCACATATTACTGGAAATTATTTTGACATACAAGCTTGTCATTTGTTGGTCATTTCTTTATTTGAAATAAAGGTGAAATGGGTTGTAGAAAAATTAAATAATTTAGTTGAAAATAAAGGTCAAATGTGTTTTATAAAAATAAAAAGCAAAATCATACAGATAAAAGTGAGGCATGGGATTGAAAATTGTGTATTTTAAAAATTGCAATACTGGCAGAGATAATCAAATGGACCTTTTTTTCCCAACAGAGAACGTTAGGACTGAGGTTTTTATTTCCTGTGTACTACATACCAGAGGTGGAAATAACACCTGGCAAACATACCTCTGCAGAAGTAATAGAAAAAGGTATTAAGTAAGAAATCATTGTTAAAAGATGTATTTGGAAGAGAAGATATGCAGGGTAGTGCTCTTTGTAATAAGAATGTAGAAAAGTTGAGAGTCATGTGGGGACATTTTGTTTCGGTGTGATTTGTGATCACCAATAAGATTTTTCTGACTATTGGCAGATTTTTTGGGGGTCAAAAATATCATTTTTGAGATCAAAGCAGAGGGCCCCCTGTACCCCATGCCATGTTTTCAGACTTTTTGACTAAATGGCAGTCTCATTCCTGTGTGATGAATCTTTTATGTTTTTATGTTTACAGTGAGAATTCTGTTAGAGAAGATGGGGAAGACATTGTTCTTCAGATCTGGTGGAGAGCCTCTAATTTTATCCGAAGAACAAAGAGAAGCAAGAAAATTAGGTAAGAATATATAAAAAGAATATATAAATTTATGAAAGAAAGACAATATTTATAAGAAAAGACTTGCTCGGCACAATTTTTTTGGTTAAATATATTTTGGGGCAATTAGGAGTGGATGTTTTTTGTTTTCTTTTAATTTTCAGCAAAGGCAGAAAATGTCATCAAAATAGAATAGGTTGCAACATAATTCACAAATTTTAACCATCTCTTTTGGAAAATTACTTTTATTCAGTAATAACATCTTCATTCAAAGTGCACCTGTATTGCTTTTCTAGCTCGTATTCAACAGATCAAGAACCAGTCTGGTCTTGGCTACTTCTTTGAGAGTGCCATCCCAGCTCTGGGCCACAGGGGGAACTTTGCCCCTCCTCAGGATGATGACACAGGTAGGGCTGGGTGATGATAAGAGAGTGAGACCCTATTCCCATAGACACCATTGGTCTACTTTGATCGATCCAGCTCACATTGAGTGCAATTAACTTAACTGAATGGCATGCCTCCTGGTTTTGAGCAGAATACACAAAAAGCTGGTGATCATACATTATGAAAACAAAAGGAGGAGTGCCATTCAGTTAAGCTGATTGCACTTAGCAAGAGTCCCCGCAGAGTTGGATCGATCTACGTAGACCCCTGGTGCCTATGGGAATGCGGTCTAAGATAAAGTTAGTAAGGAATTGAGCTTACTAATTAATTCACTAATCTAGACATTAATAATATATAATGAATGATTGGAAAATTGTCAAAATAGAAGAGGCAGCTAAAGGATGGATGGATAACTGAATGATGATAAAAAAGATTTTTTTCCAGAATACATTATTCTTCAACATTTGACACATATTTCATAGAAATTTGCAACAGACCTTGTTACCATTATTATTTGCTTGCATAGAATTGAGAAAAAGTGTTGACTGTGAACAATGAATGTGTTGTCAGGCAGTAAAGACTTAAACAGGAAGCAAAATTATATCTGCAGACCACAAACTGCAAACTACAAGTTACAATTTTTCTCAACCTCACTTTCATAGTATTTTCTCCAATATGATCATTATTATCTTAAAGTAGTAAAAAAGAAATGGGGGAAATCTGATCATGAAAACAATTTCTTTCTAGCCTCGTATGTTATGGAAGGCACAGATCGTGATTGTGCTATCTGCATGGACCACACGCGAGACTGTCTGCTGTGTCCCTGTCATCACATGGTCACGTGTCAAGACTGTGCCCGACTTTTGCTCAATCGCAGAGACAGCTGTCCAATATGCAGGAAGGAAATCACAGAAGTCATCAAGGTTTATCATTCATGAAATACTAAGCATCTTCTGAGTGCATCATTCACATTGGCATTTGTTGAGCAAGGATGGGTGTTGACAGGTGCACAATTATGTACATAAAGATGGATGTATTATAATTATGAGAAAAAAAATGTCCCAGTGCACATGTAATTGTCCATTTACCTGGACAGTGGTAAGAACTGTGAAGGCAATAAGCTTTAAGGAGAAGAAATTGAGTGCTTAGCTTATTTAAATTATATATTACGCATCACTTGAATTTTTTTTGTAAAGGTGACAATCTTTCTTGAACTTGCATTAGATCTGTTGGTTATGGTAAATTTTCTTAAAGATATACAATTAGGTGTTTGTTGTCAATCTGTTACATGAACATATCTTTTTAACACTTGTTAAAGATCTGTGCCAACAGTACATACCCATTTAATAAGTAAAAAAATTGGTTACCTTGACTATTATGATATCACAGTATTGTTTGTTTATCATCATTCAAAGTCTACTAGTACCACATGCACAAAGTATCAAGTAGTTAAAGGAACTATGTTTTAAATTGTCATTTCTTTCATGTCTCTTCATCTTGTAAGTACCCATTGTACTGTCATTGTGTGTCTTATTCTTAAAAGGATCTGTACTTCTGTATAGTCTAGTGCAATATTCCATTTTTTTCTGTACTTCAGAATCTGGTTTTATATTTTAGGATAGATGTTTCTCTCATGGCTTTCTTTGTCTTTTAGCACTGAATCTCCATATAATGCTTAATTATCATAGAATACGCTAGTTTTTCTTGACGTTTTGCTGCCTCGTAGCGCACTTACGGGCACAATTTCTGTCCATTTCTTCCTCTTTTCTATATAATTTCTCCATTTGGATTATACAAAATCTCTGCAGCTAGCCTGCCTTTATTTTTATGTCCAGAATTTCTCTTGTAGACACAGGTTGTAGAGCTGCCTGTGCACGAGCTGTGTCACGTGTGTTGGCAATGTTGTTGGTTGATTGCACATCTTGTGCTTGCATCTCCTGGGTGCAGTGTAGGTTTGGCGTATATATTTGATGAGTATTGGGGTCTAACACGAATAATTTTGCAGATTTCCTTTGTCTGCCACATATTTCATTGGCGCAAATTTTAAAATCCCACATTGTGTGCACCTTTGTTCATGTTTATAGCCGTTCTGTGTTGATACATTATTCTATATTAGTTTATCATTGCTGTCAAGTAAAAAAGTTTTACCCACTTACTTCAGGAGTCAGATAAATTCATACTTATTCACCACAGCTTTTCGCCCAACCTTACCCCATCACCATCTTGACCTTGACCTTGACCCCTCTAACATGAATAATGGGTGGTAAATAATGGTGTGGGTTATAAGGGAACTGTGCACTTAGAGTGTTTGGATTGCTCTATGTGTATACTGGCCTTGTGGAAGGGGTAAGCATACCATAGGGCGCTGTTGAAGGGATGTGTCTGGGGAATAGGGTAGGGAGGAGGGGTGTTGAAGAGATACGGAGAGATAAGGCCCAAGATTTGATGGGTGCAGGGGTGAACAGTGATGGTTGATTTAAGGGCCAACGGCTAGGTTGAAGGGGGGGTAAGCCAGGTATGACAGAAACAGGAGTGACACTGACAAGTTAAAGTTCATTAGCAGGTGCACAGTCTGCATTATGAGCTTTTGGTGTAGAAATGAGAGGCTCTGATGAATGACAGGCAGTTTGAGTGGAGTCTGTGTTGAGAAGTTTAGATGTGAAGGTGCTGTAGCAGTTGTGGGAGTCAGAGCCAAGTGGAGAAGAGATGTAATAATGTTTACGACGGCAGCTGGAGGAAGCAGCTCAACGGTGACCCCTTATCTTGATATATCAGATTATTGGCAGGCAATAATGTTTATTAATGGATAGAGCACATTCCGCTTTTTTTGCCAAACCAGTTGGGGACAAATCACCCAAATCCTAACATAGAACTGTCTTTCTTCGAATGCGTTTACTTCTTTTGTCATGGCGTCCTCCAACAGTTTTTCATAGTGCACAGTATATGCTGATTGATATTTTATGTTGTACTGCTCACAAGTTGTTTTTACAATGTGCAGGTTACTGAATTCAGCCATAGAGTTAACAATTTTGTTGTGACATGCAGTAGCTGAATGTAGTGCTAAACTCTTTGAGTCTGTCAATGTTTTAAAGACAGTCTCAGTGGGTTAGATTAATGTATAGAAGCAGGTTCTATGTAAAGCTTTGATCAGATTTGTGTTTTGTGAGATTGTTTATTATTATATTAATAAGTCTGGGTCACAAAAGTCCTGTTAAGACAACTAGAATAAAGAATTAGAAAACGAAAACTATTTATCATGATTTCGGAGCACAGCCAGAAGTACTTCCGGCTCAAGGTCACGACCTCGATTTTCCCACGCTTACGACCAATCACAGCAGGCTTCAGTCAGAATGAGATAGACGTCACGACTACACAGCGAAACTTGTCAGACATGTAAGTGCCGCCTGTCCATCTTTTCGGTACATGTAC